ACCCATATACCTACTTAGTGAGCTAAAGTATAACAGTACGCGTACATCACCGATTATATTACAAATAGCTTTAGTGTTAAATTATTTATTTATTCATTCAGCCAGTACAAGAACTATATAATTAACCAGTACAAGTTATCATAATATTTCTATTAATATGCATGTACAAGAGATAAAACATAATATAAACAAAATATAAACAAAAACATGAAAAAAAAAAATAATAGTATTAAAAGTAAGAGCTACAGTAGTGTTTTATTTATTCAGACTAATTATAATAATTATGCTAGAACAACGTTATGGTTATTAAAAAGAATATTGGTAGTAAATGTAAGTTACATAATTGCATCATGGATATTCAGCCCCTGCCGAATTTTTTTTTATATTTATGACATTTTCTGCATACTTAATAAATACTCTTTGTATTTTCTCTTAAAACTGTTCTTATTTGTTATGACTCGTAATGGTGGTGGAAGATCATTCCAACATTTTGTGGCCATAAATTTGTAACTACCACGAAATGCTGATGTCCTATGTTGAGGTATGCAAAGTACTTTTGCACACTTTCGGATACCGTACATCTGTTGATTTTGTCTCCACTGAAGCTTTTCATATAGATATTCTGGTTTCTTTGTTTTTATCACTCCAAATAGCAGGGAGGCATAAAATAATATGAGACGTTCCTGCATTTTAAGCATATTAGAGGCATTAAGGTAAGGTGTAACATGTGTTCGTCTTGGGATGTAAAAACAGTAACGAGCGCAAGCATTTTGTACCCTTCGAATTAAATTTTTTGATTTTTTAAATAGGCAAGGTCCATACAAAGTTATACAATAATTTAGTTTAGACAGAACTAAGGTTTCACATAATTTAACACGTAAGTCTACAGTGATAAACTGCCTGATTGAATATAAAACTTTCAATCGGAAAAAACAACTTTTTACGACATTAATTACATGATTTTCAAACTTTAAATAATTGTCCATAAGAATCCCAAGATTTCGTACTTCAAAAACTAGTTCAATGTTTTTCCCATCAATACGTACGTTAGGATCAGTAGAAGTTATGTCCTTTACCTGTTTTTTAGTACCTATAATAAGAAACTTAGATTTTGTTGGATTAAGGAGCATGGAGTTATTTTGTGACCAAGAACTAATGCGTTATGAAGATCCTCATTTAACTTATCCACCGCTCTATTTACATTTTTACTATCTACACTAATATACCTGCAGGTCATCGGCATAAATATGGTATTTGCAATTTTCAAGACATGCTGTTATATCGGAACTATAAATGATAAAAAGCAAAGGGCCCAAAATAGATCCTTGAGAGACACCTTTATTGACAGGAAGAAGTTGGGAAACATAACTTTCGCCATCATTCCTGTTAATTATAACTTGTTGTAGACGATTATTGAGATAAGTCTTAAACCACACCAATGCCCCGCTATCAAAACCGTAATATGATAGTTTATCTATTAACAAATCTGTATTTATCGAATCGAATGCTTTTGAAAAATCTAAAAGAGTAAGGATCGTGCCTTTGCCAGAATCCGAAAAAGACAGCACGTCATCTACGACATTTATAAGGGCTGTAGCTGTCCCATGACTAAACCCTGATTGTAACTTAGGTAGTATTTTATTTAGTTCACAAAAGTATACTATTTGAAAGTGTACAACTTTTTCCAATATTTTTGATAAATATGGTAAAATGCTAATAGGCCTTAGGTCGCTTAAATCAACTGCATTTTCTTTTTTTGGTACGGGACGAATTAGTGCGGTTTTCCACTGAGAAGGAAAAATTGATTCTGTGATAGACCTATTAATTATTGCTGTTATAACCTTTAATGTTTGTGGTAGTATCAAAAGAATCATTTCCATACTAATTCGATCAACCCCTTGTGCGTTCGACTTGATAGCCATAATAACTTTTGCAACTACACTTTCATGGACTGGCATTAACTTTAATGTGTTTGAGTTATATTTAGAACTTTTAAAGAATTTAGCATAAGACGAACCAGTATTGCTTATGTCCGGAATATTAAGAAAGTGGTGGTTAATTTTATCGGGATCATTAAAATGGTCTGGTAAATTGTTAGAATTTTTAAATGAAGGCAATGCAACCGATTTCAAGTTTTTCCACAAATGTTTGCTTTATGTAGGTTCTGATTAATATGATAGTCAAAATATGCTTTCTTCTCAGTATTAAGACAACTATTAGCTAGTCTTTTAAGAGATTTGTAATGAATTTTATCACTTTCAGCTTTTGTTTGTCGATACTTATTATGAGCGCTGTCACGCAGTTGCATCATGTACCGAACATTACTCTAGTGAACCATGGCAGTTGTCTTTTTTTAAACGTTACTAATTTCTCAGGAGCATGCTTATCAAATAATTCTAAAATTTTTTTGGAAAACTCAGATACCATTTGATCGACACAGCTAAACCCTATGATAGTATCCCAATTTATAGCTTCGAGATCTGATAGAAAAGCAAGCATATTGATACTTTTAATAGGTCTTATAATTTGTTGTATTGGTGCTATCTTAGGTTTTATAAAATGGAAGTCAACCAAAATAAAAGCGTGCCCTCCTAATTCTGGTGTATGTTTAACAAGTGTATTTGTAGCACGTGCATCCGTGATAACTAAATCAATTAACGTTGCACTGTCTCGTGTGAAGTGTGTAGGTTCTGAAATACAGTTACTTGAATTAGTATAGGTCAGAAATTGTTTAAGACGTAGAGATTTACTGTCATTAGTATCCAAAATGTTAATGTTAAATCGCCTAATAATATAAAATAATCAAAGTTGGATTGTGAAGTTAAAGTGTCGGTGAGAGAATCAAGAAAATTATCTACATTGACCCATTGTGGTCGATATGCTGTACCAATTAATATTCTAGTCCTGTTTATGGTTACCGATATCCATTGTTGCTCAACTTCAGTAAATGTGTTAATATGTGGACAGGAACGAGCACTTACCCCTCGTCTAATGTAGAAACCTACACCTCCACCCCTAGTTCTTGACATGTTACACGATCGAGGAATATGACGGAAGCTATATCCAGGAACTAATGGGGCACTTACATCGTCACCTGTCTGCAACCATGTTTCGTTAATTGCCATAATGTCAGCAGAGTCACGTTGTAAGGCAACCTGAAACTCGTCTATTTTGCTTCTTATTGACCCAGCATTATAGAGACCAACTCTAAAACTTTTATATCTAGCCATTGTTATATAATATAATGTAATGTCTTAAATTTTGAAACAAATTAAATAAAAAATATAGGGAAAAGTAAGAACACAATAAGTTATAACTTGTACTAACCAACATCGAAATAAAAACAACGCGTATAAACAATATTAAAAAGGATTTCAACAGTTTAGCAGAATGTAGACAAAAGATTGAATTAAAATAAAAAAGTAGGGCACAATGAGATCCCTAATATTAACAGCAAAATATTTTTTTAGCGTTTTTACTGTTATCAGAATATTAATTAAAAAAATGTAATAATATTTGTAGTCAAACTGTTCTAGAACTAAGTTGACATTAAAAGTATAACGAATATTAAAACTAATATACAACAGACCGAGTAATAACAACAATAAGTTATAACCTGTACTGACCAACATCCAAATAACACGTATAAACAATATTAAAAAGGATTTTAACAGTTTAGGAGAATGTAGATAAAAGACTGAATTTAAATAAAAAAAGTAGGGCACAATGAGACCCCTAAAATAAAAATATTTTTTGAATATTTTTACTGTTATCAGAATATTAAATAATAAAGTGTAATAATATTTGTAATCAAACTGTACTAAAACTATATTGACATTGTAAAAATAACTAATATTAAAACTAACACCCAAAAAACCGAATAGTAACCACAACAATAAGTTATAACTAGTACTGACCGACATCAAAACATAAACAACACATATAAACATTATTAAAAATTGTTTCCACATTTTAGCAGAATATAGACAGAAGATTGAATTAAAATTTAAAAAGTAGGGCACAATTATTAGATCCCTAATATTAACAGAAGAATATTTTTTTTAATATTTTGACTGTTAACGGAATATTAATTAATAATAGAATGTAATAGTATATGTAATCAGACTGTACTGGAACTAAGTCGACATTGTAATCAAACTGTACTAAAACTAAGTTGACATTGAAAATGTAATTGACATTAAAACTAATATACAACAAACCGAATAATAGCAAAAACGTTAGAAGCCCAAAGGCCACAAAAATCAATTTATAATCATTTAACTGTTTTGGAATATGGCTCACCAAAAATACGCGTAAAGTCATCTTCCGAGTAGATGACGCGTACCGGAGCGTTAAAAGGATCTCCTCTCTTGACATAAACTCGACCATCTTTTGTCCACACGAATTTCCATTTTAATTTTCGGGCCATTTCACGTACTTTAGCAAATAGCACACGATTTGGTTTCGTTAGCCTCTCATTAACATAAAACTTGGTTGTTTCTTTATAAGGTAACCCTAGATCTACAGTGGTGAGCGTACGGCGCACACGTGCGTTTTTCAGTAGGATGTCACGAGTGTTGCGGCGTGCTAAACGCACAACTAGGGGACGTGCCTCTATACGGTTTTGATTCCCTGTTTACACCTCTTGAAGTAGATTACTCGAATGGCGACCGACACGCTCCGCAAATACTATGTCATGATCATTTAAGGTAACTCCCAGCTTATTTGCAACTGTCGACATTATATGCAATGGGGTTTCACCTGAAACTTCAGGTATTCCAATTATTTCAATGTCATTGAGCAACGCTTTCTGGTCCTTGTCATTTATTTCCTGTTTTAATTCTTATATGATGGTCTCCATATGTGAAATGTTTGTAGGCTTATTTTGTTCACTTTCTACTTGTTTACGTACATATATGTTTTCTTGTTCAAGTGTTTGAACTTTTTCGCGAAGTGTACTTATTTCTCTTTTTAAGTCGCATATTTCTCCTGTTAGGGATTCAGTTATTTTCAAAAAACTCACTTTCCAACTTCATCAAAACTTCATTAAATTCTTGTTTAATTTCCGAAGCTAATGAGTGACGAGTGTTTTGTAACTTAGTGTCCAATTTATCGTCAAGCAATTTACCTAATTCTTCTAAAGAAAAAGTAGAAGTATTTTGTTTTTTACCTCCACGGTGCTCAAAATCCGACGGCGGCAGTCCATTTACTTGCATGTTATCACTAGACATGTTAATGACATCAGATGGTGATGAATCCCCACAGTTAACTTTTACCGGTGTGTCGTCGTTTCTGGATCGCCGTTCCGTAACGTTGGTGCAAGTGGTTGGTGCAAGTTGGTGCAAGCAATTTCCATGATCTTTTAAATTTTTGATAGTTACCCATAAATTTCGCAGATGTAATATTAAGGCACATATAATGATAGGTTCCTTTACATAAAATGCATCCCAGTAATTCATTTCGTTCAATAGAATTTTCACATGCCGAGCATTTCATTTTACTGTATTAATATACACAATGATAGTAATTATTTATATTAAACACTTTATAATTTTTTCAAACAACAAGTGGGTATTAGGAAAAACATACGCGTTTCAATAATTGTAGACGAACCAGAACAATATGCAGTATCAAAGTCCACCGCACTGAGTATTATAAATTACGAAGCAATTCAATCCTTGTTCACACTACACTTTCTTTGCTTTTTTACTTTAATTTTAAGTAACTAACTTTTAACTATTGATATTTGCTTTTTACACAGTATAAATATAAACATTAACTGCAAAAATATTTATTCATCACGGAGTAAATACAATACGATGTTAACTCGGCGATGTACGCGCGCTCACCCAATTTGATTTGTTGACGTCCAGGGAAAGGAGTGCTCTGCGCACCGAGCGTTGGGTAAACCGTACATCCTACATGGAGCACTTACACCGGGGGATGGTCGGCGGTGTGTTCCCCCGTCATCAACAGTCGAGTTGGACGCAGAGAGAGCCCAGCGGATCGGCTTTTCCTTTGCGGCACGGGCAAATTTTCTCATAGCAAACCTTTTAATTTCTTTATTTGTCTTCTTAAAAAGTCTTTTGGTCCTGCATGTCCTCCAGACCGAATTTCGGCCACGGCGGCCTGCCTCAACGGAGGCTAGCCATCGGCGCAGGACAGGATTATAGTGCCCAAGTGTATGCGCAAGCACAGGTGCACTCTCTATTCCCTCACTCTCATAATCCGATGGGACGGTAAACCGACACGACCGGAGAGAGATCAGGCGCAGGACCAACGGCTTTACGTGCTTTCCGAGGCACGGAGGTAAGACACCGTTAACTTCCTGACTCCGGGCAACTACCGAGAATTTCTTAACGGAAAAACTCATTAATTATTTTTTTTGGCCCGACCCGGGTTCGAACCCAGGACCTCATGATCAGCAGTCGCACTACTACAACCACTAGACCAACGAGGCAGTCAATTGGTATTATTATGCATATTATTTTAATAAAATTGTATTTTCATAGACTGCATATTCTACATTTTTCATTCAGCCTCTTAATTTTATTTTTATATTTCGTTAATTTTTCTGAATAAATTTGAAAATTATAAAAAAAAGATAATTTAACTCAGTTTCATGTGGGTAAATTTGAATTTTTTTTGGATAACTTTAAAGGTGTAGACGAGAACATTTCTACACCGAAAAGACCTTGGTGCTCGCATCGAATAAGATGAAAAGCATGACAACTACTGCAAATATTCCGGTTCTTCAATTTATACACCCTGGGGTGTATACTCGGAAACGCTTGTGTATCTATTAACCCCAGACAGGGTTCAAAAGGAACAATGAATCCATTCACTTACACATACACTATTTATTAATTATTATTTTAAAAATTTAAATAAAAATCATATTTCGTAATGCATTTAAATGAAATTAATCTTCCTAATTTTAAATAATATTATTATGTAATTAAAAAAATTCTGTAATATGTCCCAGAAAGGAGACAATCATTTTTGATCCCACTAGAAATTTTAGTTTCGCAATAGTATCACACCCAAAAAAAGATACCAATTTATTATTATATATAGCCTAAAGATTTTTTGAAATCCTAAACGGAATCAAGAAATGTGAAAAAAATTAGTTGTTTTGATATTCGTGTTCAGATCATTGGTTCTGGTAATGTAATATTTAAAAAATAATTGTCTTAGAGATGTCTCAGTCGGAAAAAAATCGATTCGAGTAACTCGAGTTACGCAATTCAAATTAGCTGAACGAAGCTGTGTCAATTTATCACATATTATTTTTCTAATTGTTCTTCCATCCAACACAATTATCATTACTTAATATATTTTTGGTTTGCGTATCGACAATCTTCATAAAATAATATCACTAACGTTATGACGTAAGTCTTATTGTTATTAATAATTTGACTATCAGAAAGTATACTTAATGTAAATTGATATAATATAATCAATAAATTGCTTGAATTAGTAAGTCAATTTCATCACTAAATTGTAGACACTGGCCGTAACATGCGACTCGAGTAGAATTTTGTGACTCGAGCCACTCGGGTTAATTTAAGTATTATGTCATTTTTATTTATTTATTTCATTTCATCTTACAAGCTAACAGATGACACATCCAAAACGCTTATAAGATAAACAATTCGGTATTACACATCCTCGTCATTATATAGGTAATAGCAAAATTATTTAACAATATCCTAATTAACAATACATCAATAATATCATAGAAAAAAATCATAAAAAATACAATCTTAGTCCATAAATAACATTAATATTAATATAAAATAGCAATAGTAAAAATAATAATAATAAAAAATAAGAAAAACAATACGCAACTGGCAATTATAATAATTAATAATGAAAACAATATATGTAAGTTTGATGGCTAGAATTTTTTTTTTCTTTTTTTTTTAAATTATTTTAATTTCTTTATACAAATGTCCTAATCCATCGGCAAATAAATCTAGCTCGTGGTGCTGTGCAAGTATATTAATGCGGAGTGCGCGGTTGGTGGGCGCTTGACGAGCGCGCTCGGTACATGCGCGGGGGGGGGGGGGGCTCCAGCAGTCGCGGGCGGCGCCGCGGTGCCAAATGTCCCTGCGAGTTTGCTGACACGTTCCCAGGGACCAAGATGCGGACACGCTCTAATATTTGGGGACTATCAATCCTATTGTGAATTATGGACAGATATTGCATGACTTGAGACATTGCCCTTCTAAATTTCAACGTTTCAATGTCCACCATACCAGACACGAATAAGGAAGGGTATAAGTAGGGATAGTATCCGTACTGTTTCTTATATATCCATCGAGCAAATTTACGTTGTATTTTTTCAATCATTAGAACGTATTTCTCTTCGTAAGGATTCCAGATAACAGCACCGTACTCGAGTTTACTGCGCACATAAGCATTGTATAATACTTTTGCGACCCGTGTATTACTCAGATGAAGTAAGAGGTGTATTATCAAACTGTGACGCAGTCCTTATGACAAACCCTAACTTAAAAATTTTGTTGACGTGCGTGTGAAAATCTAATTTACAATCTAATAGTAATCCTAAGTCCCTAATCTCTTTAACTCTTTCCAAAGGAGCAGTTCAGTCAACTTATAATTAACAATCATGGGCTGTGATTTTCGCGTGAAAGTTATTATTTTACATTTGAGATTATTGAGCGGAAGATGGTTTTCTTGACTCCATATAGACACAGCATCAATATCTCTCTGTAATGTCACGGAATCAGCCTTAGTTTCAATACCCAAAGTTAGTTTCAGGTCATCCGCAAATAGGATGATACACTCTGAAGTCAAAACAACATCTGGCAAATCGTTGATAAATATCACAAATAGCAAAGGTCCTAACGTACTACCTTGACTCACTCCTGTCCTAGTAAAGTAGTCTCCAGAGTTATATCCGCTGAGCCTCACATATTGACGTCGATTATTAAGGTAACAAAAAAAAATTGAGGAGCTTCGGTACGAATCCAACAATCGCCAACTTTTTCAATAGTATATCGTTATCCACTAGGTCGAAGGCTTTCTGGAAGTCAAAGTAAGCTGCATCAACTTGCCTTCGCTTATCCATTTGTGAACAGATATAGTCTACATGCGCGACCAAGTTGGTGATGGTAGAGCGTGCTGTACGAAACCCATGTTGACCATTATGCAGCTGGTGACCGATTTGGCATTTGATGGAATCACTTAGAATTGCTTCAAAGATCTTACCAAAAACGGATAGGACAGCTATAGGTCTGAAAGAAGTAACATTTGTGCCTCCGTCTCCTTTAGGAACAGGAGTGACTCGAGATAGCTTCCAGCTCTTAGAATATCTTGACTGGGTCAATGAAAGATTATACAAATACAGAAGAGGCCGCCCAAGAACTGATATACAGTCCTTAACTAAGAAGACAGGAATGCTATCCGGCCCACCAGCCGATCGTGGCTTAAGGCGTCTCACTGCCTTCTTCAGATCGTTTTCATCAACTGTCGTGATGGAAACTGAGGTCACATCTCGAGGTATATGTGCATATGTAGCTTTTGCAGCAGTATCCGGGTTTAGCACGGGTTTCTCTGCATGAAAAACGGACGCAAAATATTTAGCAAAGGCATCGGCTGCGGCTTGATCTGTCACTGCAGTATTTTCATATATATATATATATATATATATATATATATATATATATATATATATATATATATATATGTATCTATGTGCCTTCTATTATTTTTCTTCTCCTTTACATATTTCCAGAATTGCACAGGATCGTCAATGATATTTTTTTGTAGTACAGTCATATATTTCCGGTATTCGCAGTCAATCAATTTCTTAAATTTTTCTCTATAATATATAAACATAGCCTTATTAAATTATTTGCCCTCTTTTTTGATTTGCTTATGATGAAAGTGTTTGTTTTTTATATTTTTAATTATTTCTACGTTGTACCATTTTGGATATATGTATCGCTGATTGTTTGATAATTGTTTTTTAATAGGCACAAACAGATTTATAATTTCGTATAGCTTATCGTAGAACAGCTATACAGCACAGTTAATATCGCTTATTGTTAACAAATCAGACCAGTCTATTTCAATCAAAGTCCTATATAGACCCTGAAAATCCGCCTTACGCCAGTTCCAATCTGTATTGGTATTCGAGCGAGGTGTCACTTGCTGCAAAGATGACACGCTCGATGCTATCCTAAAGCCCGGAAATATAATATTTATATCGAGCATAGGATGGTACTGATCGATATTTACAAGAGGATTTTCACTGAGAGATACCACTATCTGTTTAGGTTTAAAATTGCCCAGCACCAGATCTAGCATACCACCGCGATTATTTAAGACTGTATTTTTTGCTTAAGCGAGCAGAATTCACAAAAAAAGTCAAAAGACGTCTTTATATTGGTACTGCAAGAGTTTAAATTAAAGTCACCTAGGATTAGAA